CCAGTCCTTTTCACTAATATATTCTATAAAGTATTTTTTTTCTTTTCCCTTCTGTGTGTGTGTGTGTGTGAGAGAGAGAGAGAGAGAGAGAGAGAGAGGAATGGGACAGGGCAAGGGAGTCACATAGGAAGCATACAAGATGCAAAGGATGCTATCTGGACAGATGAAAGTCTTATCTCTTCGCACATCTGTTTCCCTCATCCCCAGCTGATTGCACGTGCTTGCCATTGGTAATGGGGTCGTGGCTTCTCTCTGAGGTCCCTGTCCTGGATATCTGGCATTAGCCGGGGCTCACCATTCAGTATAGGTCAGATTCTTGCTGCTTCCGCTAGGCTGCTTTATGTTCGACCCCTTGACTTTGCTGTGTCCTCGCCACTTTGAATTCAGAACTGCTGCTAACATCTCATGCTATGGCTTAACCGTGCTTAAGCCTAATACCCCAAAACAAGTTGATCAATATCCAGATGGTCAAATCAGCAAAATGAGGGGGTAAAGTCTTTACTTTGTCAAAGGAACTCCCATTAGGGAACAATCCTCTGAGCCCAGGATTTAAATCTGGGCTGATCCACTTATGAAATCTGTGACTATGGGCAAGTTATTTAAGCTCCTTGCAGCTCAGCTTCCTCACCTGTAAATGCAATAGAACATCCACCTCCCAGAGTGGCTGTTAGGATTCAATGAGCTGATAGACGCAGCGTTCTTTGCACAGAGCCCCAACACTTTGTAGGTACTTAATATTTTTTGTTTCCTTTTTCCTCCCCCTCCATTGTCCCCTACCTAGTCTGATGTGCATGATCATCTAACTTGGCAGCTAACTTGAAAAAGGTGGGATGGTTTCAGGCTGGGAGCTTACCGTAGAATTAGAGAGTGCCGGTTTTTAAACACATACTAGCCAAATTATTTGTGTTGATGCACACTATTTTTTTAAATATATTTTATTGGTTTTTTACAGAGAGGAAGTGAGAGGGATAGAGAGTTAGAAACATCGATGAGAGAAAAACATCGATCAGCTGCCTCCTGCACACCCCCTACTGGGGATGTGCCCACAACCAAGGTACATGGCCTTGACCGGAATCGAACCTGGGACCTTTTGGTCCGCAAGCCGACGCTCTATCCACTGAGCCAAACCAGTTAGAGCTTGATGCACACTATTAACCCCATTTATTTTTAGTCTCTCAGTAAACACGTGAACAAAACTCTGTCACCTACACATTTCATTGAATATATTTTTCAAGAACAACTGAGGAAGTTCTATCAGAGAAAAAAAGTTAAGGGATTGTTTTGTTCATTTTGTTTTTGCTCACAATCCTTTACTGCAGCGGTTCTCAACCTGTGGGTCGCGATCCCTTTGGCGGTCGAACGACCCTTTCACAGGGGTTGCCTAAGGCCATCCTGCATATCAGATATTTACATTACGATTCATAACAGTAGCAACATTACAGTTATAAAGTAGCAATGAAAATAATTTTATGGTTGGGTTACAACATGAGGAACTGTATTTAAAGGGCCAGAAGGTTGAGAACCACTGCTTTATTGGGTCCCACTTGTGTGTCAGAGACTATATTGAACAGTTTACATTCAATTTCTCACTTATCCTCCAACAATCCTAATTAGATAGGTGCCATTATTTTCCCCATTTTACATATGAGGAAACTGAGGCACAGAGAGAGCTGTTAAGTAGCAGCACAGTGTCCAGGGTCAAACATCTACTACCTACCAAAGCTGGCAGGTGAGCCCCTGCGGTCTGCCCCACGCCACACTGTACATCATTAGCACCTTCCAGTACGTTCAAGGCCCCAGCAAGCTGCATTTGCTCTTTAAGACTTCTTTTCAGATCTGGAAGAGGGCAGCCGCTAAGAGCTGCCTGTGACTTTTAAAGTCAGTAGTTTTATGTGAGAAGAGAAAAAAATATTTCCAGGGGAAAAAATGTACTAACAGGTAATACACTCTTCTAGGAATTACATCAAGTACTCGTTCCTGTGAAGCTGGTGGTCCATCATTCACGAGTGCCATTACCAGGTCACTAGGTGGAACTCTTTTATTTCTTCTTTCATCAGCCTTCATGTTCATTGTCTGCAAGCTCAGTGCCCGTTAGAAACGTATGCCCTAGCCTAACCGGTTTGGCTCGGTGGATGGAGCGTCGGCCTGTGGACTGAGGGGTCCCAGGTTTGGTTCCAGTCAAGGGCATGTACCTTAGTTGCGGGCACATCCCCAGGAGGGAGTGTGCAAGAGGCAGCTGATCGATGTTTCTCTCTCATCGATGTTTCTAGCTTTCTATCCCTCTCCCTTCCTCTCTGTAAAAAATCAATAACATATACTTTTTAAAAAAAAGAAAAGAAAAGAAACTTAGTAAATCCATCGAGGGAAAAATAACCGCTAAGAAGCTCTTCTGATGGATGCACTTGTTCATTGCTTTGTAGAATTAACATTGTTCTTATTATTTGCAGTTTTGAATATTTCAGGGCTATTTGGCATTTCTCTTTTTTTCTTAAGCTGAAGCTATTATTGGTGTGCATTTGAGTTGCACTCAGGGGTTCATACCCATGATATCTACATTCTTATTTTTGCTTGTGGAAAAGGGAATGGGTGGCTATGTGGTATCTTTCCTAGCTCAAAACTGTTGTCCTTTTCCTAAAAGCCTGTCTGGTACTTCCAGACCATCCCTTGAAAACCTAATAAAATGGTCTGATACCTCCCTATGAAAGCTCTCAGATATAATCCTGGAATTATATCTGACAGGACTCTTAGAAAGGAGGAGGGGCTAGAAGGGGAAAAGAACAGACCCTTACTGAAGGGTGAACCACATAAAACTGCCAATATGGAACCCCTTTTGTACCTATCCAAATGGCAATTTATATGGTTCAATCCAATACTAAATGCCAGGCCAGACACCTATTATATGTTATCACAGTTGATCCTCATAAATGATTCTACGAGGTCAGGTTTATCCCCATTTTAAAGGCAACGAAAGTTAGTTAAATGCCTAAAGTCATTATCTTCGTTTTGATTTCCCACAAAGTTGACCCAGAATCAAGGACTCTATGTGAGTAGTATATTTGGAAGACAACCCCAGAAAGCACTGGGAAGAGAATGGCAGCCTGAGATGGGGAAGGGAAATAGTAAGTTATAGGGATGTTGTCAAGCCAGTTACTCTGGAGCCTAAACCTTCTGGGGAACTCTTGGAAACAGGGAGGGACACATGCCACAGGGTCATCCCACCTTGGGGACAAGGAAGCTTGGGCTATTTATACATGAACTATTTTTAGTCATTGGTCCAGAACTAGCAGAGGCAGGGTTTGAACTTGTGACATTCTGACCTCATAACCCATGTCGTTCCCACTGAAGCACAAAATGTTGTCAAAGTGTGGGAAAGGTCAGGGGCTCCCGGAGAATTGGGAATCAATTCCAGGATTATATCTGGGCCCCTGTAAGACACCAGAGGAGAGACCGTGCCATGCCTCCCTGCTCTATAACCATAGTTGTGTAGCTCTAGCCTACAAAATGCATGCACAGCCATAACATCATTTGGCTCTCATCATGCCCCTGAGACAGACTAAAATCCATTCGCTTACAAGATTATTATGTGCATGTGTTTACTCCCTAACTATTGAGTATGTGTGCCAGGAAGTGTTCTAGCTAATGGAGATGTAGTAGACCAGACGCACACTCATGGTAAAACTCATATTCTAGTCGGGGAAGCAGAATAAAGAAGCAAGGAGATGTATAATGTCATGTCATCACTGGTGCCATGGGCAGTTTAAAACAAGCAAAGATGATGGTGATGGCAAGAGATGCTATTTTTTTTCCGTTGATGTTGGGGTCAGGGAAGATGATTCCATTTGATGAGGGTAGTGAAGGAAGTGAGGCTAGCTGGAGGAAGGATGAAAAGAAAGACGGGCAGTGAAATTAGGGTGTGGTGAGGCATGAGTCTGGAGAGACCAGGAAGGGCAATGTACCATCTTATTGTTAGGACTTAGGTTTTTGCTCTCAGCCCAGTGAGGAAGCATTGGAGGATTTGGAACATGGAAGTGGCTGCATATATGATTTCAGAGGTTCATTGGTTATGTAGCTCTAACTCACATGGTCAGCAAGACCCAGAACCAGGTCTCAAATTGACGTTTTCTGACTCCTGACCCAGTGCTCTTCCCACTTGGGTCCACAGTTGTTCTCCAGACCTGGATATGCTTGCTCTCCTGTTTCTGTTGTTGTTTTGTTATTTTAATTGAATGTATTGGGGTGACACTGGTTAATGAAGTTATTTAAGTTTCAGGTATTCAAATCTATAGTGAATCATCTGTGTATTGTCTGTTCACCACCCCAAGTCAAGTCTCCTTCTATCACCATGTATTCCCGCTTTGCCCTCTTCTACCTTCTCCACCCGCTTTCCCTCTGGTAATCCTCACACTGTCACCTGTGTCTATGAGTTGGGTGTTTTTTGGTGTGTGAGGGTTTTTTTGTTTGTTTGTTTGTTTGTTTTGCTTAATCCCTTCACCTTTTTCAACCAGCCCTCTTATATGTGGAATGTAATCCTATCTAATAAAAGGGTATTATGCAAATTAACCACCACTCCATCACAAAGATGGCGGTGCCCAGTCCTCTCAGCCCCGCCAGAGTCCCCCAGTCCGGAGAGGGAGGGGGGGTGGCGGGCGCTGAGAGCAGGCAGCATGAGCGGCCTGGCGGAATGCTTGCTTCATCGCTGCGGCAACAAGGCAAGCGTTCCGCACTTGGCTGCGGATGGGCCTCTGGGCAGCGGACGCAGAGCGGCCAGGCCCCGCAAAGAGCTACTGGCGCACGGATTTGTGCGCAGGGCTACTAGTGAACAAAATAAACTAACAAATAGAGACAGACTCATGGCATTCTGCTTTTTTATGTCCCTTGCAGTTAGTTGTGGTTTCCTTACCAGATCTTAAAACTGCTATTACCTATTCCCCAGACTTTTGGCTCCTTGGGACTCCTCTTTGCCTCTTGGCTAACAGCTTTAACATTCTCCTGTTTCCAAGAGCATCTTGTCTTCGTTATCCATCAAAACGCATGACCCACACACTTGCTCCACCAGAGTTTAAGCCTGACCATGAAAGTCAAGTGAGGACAACGGGATGAAAAAATAGCCACTCTAACAAAAAAAATGTTTAACTTCCCAGATGTCTTCAAGATATCAAGGAACTTTTTTGTATTCAAGATCAAGTGATATTTTCTCCCAGACGATAGGAAAAAGAGAGCAGGGGACCCGTGGTTCATTGCTTTCTTTCTCATCCAGACCAACATAGAATCGGGCAAAAGTTGCCATGAGCTACTGTAGATGCCTTTTCCTTCATCATTACTATCTTTGGTTTCTAAAATCGCAGATTGATTGGCTTCAGATCCAAAGTGGCTTTGTGTATTCAGCCAAGGCTGCAAAGACAAACAGCCTACTGGGGGAATTACAGTGCGGGACTCTCTTGACTGGTCTTTAGTGTCAACAGCCACAAAAAGTGTTTACCCCCTGATAGAGCAAGAAAAACAAACATCCCACTCTCCCATCCCTGCACTGGCACTACTTCTGAATAGAAGTGCCCATTTTGTCTTTTGTCACTGTAGCAGGTCACCATGACGCTAGGCAGGCAGGTACAGAAGAAGTGTGTGGATAGATAGTCACTTGTTTGGCTACATCCACCGCTTACATTTCGTGTCCTCCGAGCATGTAATGTTTCAAAGGCAGAATGATATTTCTGTTCACTTATTAAGGGATGACTAACTTGCTTTTGGCTGTACTACAAATGAATCACGGTAACCATCCCCAACTCGCAACTTCTGGTGTTCTGATGTAATGCGTTTCTATTAAAAGAAGAGGAAAGAGAGTGGGTGAGAGTGAGATCATGCAAAGGCGGAACATAACACCCAGGGAGCTAGCGTAATTGATGAACTTTAGAGACCAGATCCGTCCACTTCGAGGTGTTTTCTTGTGTCCTGGATGCGGATACCTTGCCACTCAGTTCCTAGGCATTTACAGTTGCAGAATATAGACCCATATCACGACCTGGCATTTCGAGGGACTCGGTGAAGAAAGCATTTCATTTGGGGGTGAAAACTAGATATTCCTTGAAAGCATTTAAAAGCAGTTTTGATTTCGTGTCACTTTGAGGGAATATTAGAGGGCCCATGATACAGGTTAGAAAGGCAAACCAACAACCTCCCTTTTGAAATTGTTTTCATGCTATGCAGGGTATTTGGCAGCGGCAGTAGGAGGGAGTGAGTGGGAAGGTGAGACAAGGAAAGCAGGGCAGCCTAGAAAGGTGGTATCATCAGACACTGCCCCGGGGGAACCCCCACCTCCTCCGAATCTCCCCTCACAGGTGAGGTTGCTGGAAGACAGCTTGATGTGTTAATTGCCCTTCCTGGCAGAGTGGCCTTCCCACCCTCCCTCTCCCCCTTTTCAGCAAGAAGCAAATACTGTACAAAAAGCGCTGAGAGGTGTTGCAAAAGGTCCTCAGAGCCCACAGGTATTTTTCCTACGTTAATCACCTCTCCAGAGCAGACACTGCCTCCCGCCCGGAGCCCTTCTGCACTCTCCTCCGCAAGGTGCCCTGCTGTCTTCTGAGGAAGATCGGAGTGTGCCAAGGAGAGGCAGAGAGGAAATGAGACTCTGGCCTGTCGTGACCAGCAGCCCACGCTGGCTTTGTCCCAGGCCCTGGCAGAAGGGGATTATAAGAGCCAGTGCCTCCCAGAACGGGAAAATCACTCATAGAAGTGAATCTCCACCCCCGCCTCACAGTAACCCTACCCTGTTGTTTTCTTTCTGGGTTTCATCTACTAAGAGATCTGTTATTGACCTGAAAAGAATTTCGATGTGTTGTCAAAGCATACTTCCAAGTAGCTGTGATCACTATCAAATTGGTATTTATGAAGTTCACTGTCTCTTGCCCAGGATCTGATTGTATGGTTTGTGGATGTTGCTTGGCTTATGTTGTGGATGTGAGGTCAGAACCAAAAGGATCTGTCCGTAAGATTAGCTGGACCAACCTCCCTTTTGACTGAAAAATATGAGACCTGAAGAAGTAAGAGTGACATTCCCAGGTCTCTGACATTCCTCCCTAAGTAGCAGAGGCCAGACTTAAGCCCAAACCTCTCATTACTGGACTCCATTGCGCTCATGAACTTTTTTCTTGGTAAATTCATCTGTGAAAGTTTGATTTGGCAACTAGAGAGGCTGGATGGAGAATAAGAAAGGTCAGTAAGCTCAGACCCCATCCCCTTCATCACCTGTTAATATCGCCATGTAATGTTGCTGTCTCAGATGAGGTTTGGTGTTTGGGATTATTTCTGGTCTCTCTGAATGGACCCCAGATCCCCCAATGTGGCTGTCCTACAGCTCAGTCATGTCCTCGGCCAATCATTTGAACTGGGTGGGCTGACAATTCTTCATTCTTCCCCATGTCTTCTTCATCCACTAAAGCTCTAAAGTTGTGCTGGTCTATGGCTAAGTGTCCCGCTGTAGAGTAGGGCCTAACTGAGAATCCTGCATCTGCCCTTTACCAGGTCATCTTAGGTGAGTTACTGCCATTCTCTAGGCCTCAACTGCTCCAGCTATAAAATGGGAAAAATGATTTAAGCATTTCCATAGAGTCTTATATCGAGTACATTTTTAAAACTATAGAAAGTACTGAGCAGACTAGTTACAATGACTATGATCATTCTGAACCTGAAGGGTGATGAGAGCAAAGAAGCTAACGATTTAAACAGTACGTTCAGAGCCTTAAAATGAATCTCAACTTAGCATTCAGTTCTGGCCTCTTTAGCAGCAAATACAATATTAATTGAAAAATGTTGTGATCGTGATTGACACCAGATTAGGGTTTTTTTTTAGTGTTTTGATTTTGTTTAGAGAGAAAGGATAGGAGAGGAAGAGAGAGAGAGAAACATCCATGAGAGAGAATCATGAATCAGCTGCCTCCTGCCCGCCCCCTACTGGGCATCAAGCCCGCAACCCGGGCATGTGCCCTGACCTGGAATCAAACCCGGGACCCTTGAGTCCACAGGTCGATGCTCAATCACCGAGCCACGCCGGTCGGGTGACACCGGATTAGGTTTTACTGGTATAGAACACTTGGTGCTGTCTGCTATTAGGATCTTCCCATTGTTTTGGACATTGTATGTCTCTTTTTGGTTTTCTTTTAAAATCTTTTTTTAATTGATTTTTAGAGAGAGAGGAAGGGAGAGGGATAAAGAGATAGAAACATAGATGAGACAGGAACATCATCGATGGGCTGCGTCCTGCATGCCCCACACTGAGGATGGAGCCCGCAACCCAGGCATGTGCCCTGACTGGGAATCGAACCGTGATCTCCTGGTTCATAGGTCAACACTCAACCACTCAGCCACACCAGCCAGACTGGACATTGTGTCACTTGTGAGATTTTCCATGTGTTGAGTGTGATGTGATCCCCCGGAACTCAGAGAAATTATCCTCTATTGACAGCACAGTAAATTTGATAGCTTATTGAATGTATGTTGATCAAATAACTGGAAATCTATACACAATTATAGAAACATGGATTATATGTTGATTCACATGACAGAGTGAGACTGTATGAAGTCTTAGGACTATTGTGTTTTTTCTCTTCTGGGAAAAGGGTCTCTTATCTAGCCCAGTAACGAGCTTGTGTGGATTGAGGTGGTCCATTTTGTGGACTAAGGTGTCTCAGTCACCATTTCACTCTCGTGCTTTGATGTTTTCCTGTCTTTCTTTTCTCCTTCTCCACCCAAAACCAAAGATTAATTTAAAGGCAAAGCTGACGTCACCGTAAGTCAACTTGTCATCATTTTTACTTTCCCTTTCTTTTTCAGTGCAGAAATGAAAAGTAAGTATAAAGCAAAAGAAATCGTAACTTTGATCTCCTGCTTCCCTTTTCCGCTGTGAATATATGTAAGAACACCTACTAATGCATCTGCCATCCTGAGTGGGGCTCCTTTTGGAACGTGTACATCAGGGCATTTTAAAACCCTATGCGATTGCGATAGCTGTCCAGGTAGCATGTGCAGCCTGTCTGCCCATGGCCACGTGGGCAGCCAAGAAGTAAGTAGATTGTTTGTGTGCTTGCTGTGTAGGCATAACATCCAAAGATCAGAACGGCATCTTTTCAGAAGTCCCAGCAGGGAGTCTTCATGCTCCTTTCCCATGCCTCTGATTACCTCTCACCTCTTATCCCATAGACTCTCGCTGCCAGGTGGGTGGCCTCAGCCAACACCCCCTCTCTGGCTGCTTTGTCACTCAGCATCTCCATGCCACTCAGAAGCAAGAGTGACACATGTTCTACCCACCTCTCCATCAGAAATTCAAAGCAGCTGCATCTAACAGCAGCTCTGGTACTAAGAGTTAACAAACCTTCCCTGCCGAACTTCAGTAAGTTCTCATTTCCCAAGCCTCCCTTCTATGACTTTGTGGTACAGGGGTTCACAAGGTGTCTGCTTTCTTTGGTCAGTGATCCCCGGGGTCGTAGCAGCAGATCAGCCAAGTTAACAGATCACTAAATAGTTTAACAAGTCCCAACGCAGCAGGGCGCCATGGCCGCCTTAGAGAATGGATGGAAAATATCCCCTTGCTATAATTGGGTTCGGCCCTGTGGCTTAACACCATCTTATTTGGCAATCTTTTTCTCTTGACATATTTAGTAATCACTCTAAGAAAGATTTATTAGACTGTTCATGGGAACAAACAATGCATTAAGTATTACACATATGCATGCTTTTAATACCACTCCTTTTCTAGTCTATTCTCAACCTTTCCCCAAAGTCTTGCTTTTGCCTCATCAAAATTCTCCCTTGTCTTTAAATTCCTCTTGGTTCTTGTCTCCTCCAAAAGAACCTTTTATATTTTGGAATGTTTTTGTAGTTATGAGTTCTTTTAATCAAAATTCACTGGGCTATGCTTAGAGAGGAAAACACACTCTCACAGTTCAAAACCACTGAAGATCTTTTCCTCATCATTAATCTCAAAACAAAAATTTAGCATATGGTTAGAGTTTTGTGAAAATAGTCTCCTGGGTATCTCTGGGGGCGGGGGAAGAAAAAAGGGGAGAGAGAGAGACAGGAATGAACTCCAAATATTTCAGCTAAACACAATACAATGAACTGTTTCCTGAACCTGAAAGTTGGCACCCATGAGGAGATGTGGGGGAGGGGCACTGAGAATCAGGATTAACCACTCATGATCTGTGCTCACTAAAGGACTTTGACAGGTGGTACCCCTCAGACATTTTCAAAAAGAATAATAAATATCCCACCCACCCTGGCACACGCAGAGCAAAATGTCTTAGCAAATAATCCATCTAGGACAGATTTAAGAGAAAATACATCAGGGTCATGGAGATGCTCAGAAGGTCATGAGTTAATGACATAGCCGCCGCATGGCAACCCTGGATGTTATTCCCTTTACATATGAAATGTTCTTCGGTCATCAGATATACAATAATGGCTGTCTCTGCTCTTGGGAGAGCCCCTTCAGTGTTAGGCACCATTCTACATGCACTCATTTACTTAACACTCAACTTCCTGCCTACTGCTGACCTGATTTAGTACACTGGCCACAATCCCCACACAGAAGGCCTTATTTTCTCACCTTAGACAGTAGATTACACATAGTCCTACACATCTGATATTTTAGGGGTGACGCATTGAAAGCACAAATTCAGGAATTAGTTGCTAGCAAGAGCCTTCATTCGCCTGCTGGTATTGCCAACTTAGAGGTGCAGTGTGAGGGGCCAGGAGCACAGGTTCAGGAGCCAGACTGCATGATACAGCCTAGCTCACTATTACTGTGTCTGTGAACTTGGGCACGTGATCTGGCTTCTCGATGTCTCAGTTTCTTCATATAAAAAATGAGGCTACACTTGTACTTCACAGTTTCTTATACGGATTCAATGAAATAATCTGTGCCCGGCATGTCGTAGGGACTGTTACATGGGTGTATTCCTGTGTGCACTGTGATCGCAGGCATACAGACCTGGGCATGGCAACCATCACTGAGGGTGAGGGGGGTAGAACGAATTCTGCTGTGATCCCTGAGCACAACTCCCATGGATCCCAGCCAGACTCTTGCAGTGACAGCTCCCTTCCCATATAATCAGACAAGGAAAGTCAGAGAATACGAGAGCTCTCAAGGTGAACCTCTTCTATGGCACAGAGTGATTGAATTGGATGCAGAAATTGCTTAGCTGCCTGTGAATCAGCAGCAAGGGCTGGGCCTGCGGAGGACCTGTGCACCTGGGACTGCACCTTAGTTCCCTTTTTACTTGACACTTTCAAGAGAGAGACACTGAGCGGTGGACCTATATAAGGCTTTCAGACATTTATAGACCAATCGAGTCACAAACAAAGCACACGACTTGTGGAAATAATGCTGGTACTTTAACCCAGCACTACTCAAGCTTCCGCTATACCAGAATCTCCTGGAGGGCTTGTGAAAACACAGATTTCTAGGCCGCACCCCAGAGATTCTGACTCGCTAGGTCTGAGGTAGGGCTTGAGAGTTTCTGTTTCCAGTAAGTGCCTAGGTTGTGCTGGTCCAGGGACCATGCCAGGAGAACCACCTGTCAAATATGTGTTTTGCATCCTTACTACCTATTTTTTAAATATATTTTATTGATTTCAGAGAGGAAGGGAGAGGGAGAGCAATAGAAACATCAATGATGAGAGAGAATCGTTGATTGGCTGCCTCTTGCATGCCCCCTGCTGGGGATCAAGCCTGCAACCAGGGTATGTGCCCTGACCGAGAATTGAACCGTGACCTCCTGGTTCATAGGTTGACAGAGACTGGGCTCCTTACTACCTATTTCTGATGTAAGGTTATAACATTTAACTTGAACTCTTTAGCATAGAGATGGCATGAGTGACTCCCCACCCCCCAACATACAGATATTTGAATCCACAGAGCTAATGTCCTTATTCCTGTGTATTTTTGCTAATAAACACTGACTTTCATTTTTTTCCCCATAGTTGCATGCTGCTGTGACCAAGATCCAGGTTCCAAGACCTGGATTCAATTACACGTTTGCCCACATATGTGTCCTGAATAATGATAAGACTTGCATCGTGGATGACATAGTGCATGTGCTGGAAGAGCTAAAGAATGCTCGGGCCACCAACCGGACCAATTTTGCTATCACATACCCTATCACTCACTTAAAGGACGGGAGGGCCGTGTACAATGGGCACCAGCTTGGAGGTGTCACCGTGCACAGCAAGGACCGGGTGAAATCCGCAGAGGCCGTCCAGCTCACCTACTACCTGCAGTCAATCAACAGTCTCAACGACATGGTGGCTGAGAGGTGGGAGTCCAGCTTCTGCGACACTGTCCGACTATTCCAGAAATCTAACAGCAAAATCAAAATATACCCTTACACGTCCTCCTCGCTGAGGGAAGACTTCCAGAAGACCAGCCGCGTGTCAGAACGTTACCTGGTCACCAGCCTGATCCTGGTGGTCACCATGGCCATCCTCTGCTGCTCAATGCAGGACTGCGTCCGCAGCAAACCCTGGCTAGGCCTACTCGGCTTGGTGACCATAACCCTGGCCACTCTCACCGCAGCCGGGATCATCAATCTTACTGGTGGGAAATACAATTCCACCTTCCTGGGAGTCCCTTTCGTCATGCTAGGTAATTACTGCCCTTCATTTTTTCTGGTTCCTCCTGCTGGTAATGGTTACTGGGTTCCTAAAAGGCAAAGAGCAGCCATCTAACAACTTTGTTTCATTTTCAGTGTCTTCCTTTTGCCTAGAAGCCCTGGGACCACTTGTAAAAAGTCCTGGTGGTCAGCAAGAAGCAACCTTCTCTGGTAAAGGTGCCAGAAGTCCAAAGTCATGGGCTCCAGCCCTGGCTCTCCATTAAGCAGCCATGTGACATTTGGCAGCTATTCATCTTTGTGCCAGAGTGTCTTAGGTTGAGCCTCCCCGGAAACAGACTGTGAGACAAGGGTTTAGATACAAGTCATTTATTTGGGAGGTGAGCCCAGGAAGCCCCAGTGTGGGAATGAGAACCTGAGACAGAGTAGGAAGACAATTCAGGGCATGTGAATGAACAGGTTCCTGCTGCGGGCATCTGTGGCTCAATCCCACTGGGGACCTTTGAGAGAGAGACCTCAGAGGACACTAGGCAGAGAGGACCTCCTTCAGGAGTGAGGAAGCTGGGAGCTGGGCTGTGTCCCCAGAAGCCCTGTGCATGACTCATCAAGGCTCTCCCAGGGTCGTTAACAGCCAAGCTCTTTACAGGGAAGACCCAGCACATTCCTACAGCTAGAGAAATCCCTCTGGTCACGGGTATTTGCGGTAGGAAGCCTTCCTTGACTTTTAGAATGGTAAACAGGAGGGCATGTGGGTTGAGCACTGACAGTGTCTGCCACCCTCATTTTCCCTACCCTCTAGATAGAGTGGATGTGAACATCACACAAAAGGACATAAGTAAACGTACAAGGATTTTAAAAGCAACAAGTGAGACATAAATAGAAGGAAACTTTTCCTGTCCTTGCTGTGAACTCAGGAGAATGTTTCAAAATGATGGTGTAAGAGCCCTGGCTGGTTTGACTCAGTAGGTAGAGCATTTGCCTGCAAACTGAAGGGTCCCAGGTTCGATTCCAGCCAAGGGCATATGCCTGGGTTGTGGGCTTGATCCCCAGTAGGGGATGTGCAGGAGGCAGCCGATCAATGATTCTCTCATCATTGATGTTTCTATCTCTCTCTCCCTCTCCCTTCCTCTCTGAAATCAATAAAAAAAATTTTTTTTAAATGATGGTGTAAGAATCCCACTCTATTCATGGAGGCTGCAGGAATTTCCTGATAAAGATAATGCTCAAAACAAAGGCATAGTGCCTGGCCGCTGTGCCTCAGTGGTCGAGCATTGACTCTCTCCGTGTCCCTTCCTCTCTGAAATCAATAAAAATATATTTTAAAAAAAACACAAAAAACAAATAAAAGACAAAGGCATAGTGGTCATAACATAACATCAGTGACTCTGTCCATCTGGTCTTGAAGATGGCATGCCCAGCAAGCCTGATGGCAGAGTCCTGTGGGCCAGGATTCAGATGGTTCGCTTCCCCCCTTTTCTCTGGCAGCTTCTCATCAATTCCTTTAGCAAAATTAAAATATTGGGAATCAGATGACAAACAAATTGGCATTTTTCGTTGACTGAGAAATAAGTATGATGGAGTGGGCCTTTTGCCCTGTTGGGGGTAGCTGAAGAGAAAAGAATTTCCTTGGGAAATCTCAGCCGCGTTATGGTTGGTTAAGTGAAAAGCAGGGCTGGCGGGGCTGCAAGGCCACCGAATGGCCTGCTGGCCTCACTGCTCCGCGGCTGCAGGAGTTTAGACCAAGGCTAGGAACATCCATTAGTAGCCTCTGTGGGAAAGTGAGGCACTGTGAAGAGACTGAGCAAGCTGTGGCCCTACCAGCTCCATTTACTTATCACTGCTGAACACAACAGAGAAGGAGGCTGCTACGCTTCCTCCTGACTCCAATCTGTTAAGAAGGCAGCTTCATTTGTCTCTTTAAAATAACACCCAGACGATGTGGGTATACGGTGGTCTACAGGGTGGCTTCTTGAAGAGTGAGTAAGGACTGGGTATTTGTAGCTTCCACAGAGGCTTGAGTCAAGATTTAAATTCAGATGTTTTGCTCATGCTTAGTCACAGGCTGGGGTTGTTTTTTTTAGCTTTCGTTTTAAAAATAGTGGTTTTTGTTGTGATTATTTTTGTGGGGGCTAGTGGGTGGGGATAAATGGGAATAAGAAAAGAGTGGGGAACTGAAGGGAGACAGTAAGGTTCTTAAGGTGAAGAAAAAGGGCTGGAAAAGGGGCTATTGTCTCTGGTTTTATGAAACTCTAGGTAGTTACCAGTGAGTTCAAAGTATGATACAATATTTAAAACTCCCGAACCTTACTGAGTCCAGGGCACTGACCTCTTTCCCCTTAGATTGTCAAATAAAAAAATGACAACAGCCAACACACACACAACCTCCCTAAAAACTAATTGCACTCAGTAAGATAAAATTACAATATTTAGTGCTCCTTAATATTGATATTAAAATAGTAATATTCAAAACTTCTTCAAATTAATTTCACTAAAAAATCTATTTCACTAAGCAAATGACATTAAATATTCAAAACTTCATTAAATTAATTTCATTAGGCAAAACAATTATAACACTGACAATTTCTTAAAACTTCCATTTGTACTTTTTAGAGAGATTTTAAATATTGTAAGTAAAGGTCAACACAGAAAGGCATAGACCAGATAGTTCTGAGGCAGAGAAGGATGTAAGAGATGGAAAGATGCTGTTAACAGGGGAGTGTCTTTGAAAAACAAATCCAGAAATAGTAGCGTCACGGCCCTGCAGAGACCGAGTATCACTGAACTTCACGTCCAAGTTCAATTCAGAAAGAGCTGGCATTTGCAATGAAAGAGACCCAGCGCTGCAGGGGCCCAATACTCGCTTGTTTGCAATTTGTGAGGAATGTTACAGGCACTGATTGGATGGCAGTGTTCCCTGCTGACAGTCAGTATGCAACCTTTCTGTACATTTTCAGTCCAAAGAGGTCGCAAATGACTTAGTCACATCATGAGAGGAAGCTATGCATTTTAGTAGCTAAGGCTCATTTGCAATAAATACTTTGCGCCATGTAATGGGTGCTTAATATGCTCATAAAGCCAACAGTGCCTGATTTAGGATGGTTGTTGCCCTTCTGTATTCCTCAGATAAACTCTTCATTCTCCGAGATTGAATAAAATACAAGCAATAGCACGTATGACAATGTATTCAGGGCCAATGTTAAATTCCGTTTTTTGATGACCAATCTTTAAATGCCAATAAATATTTCAAATGACCAAGAAGAAATACAGTCCTAAGGGTTTTGCACTGAGTCAAAAACTATCTGGTTTTTTAAATTGCCTGTCTATGACACAAAATGACTATGCTTAACCTAAACAGATTTAAGCAAAACTTCTTGATTTTTTATGTTACCTCAATACAATATCAAATAAAAATTTAAAAATATATGGCCTCATTTAGAAGGAAAAGAATCTCAGAAAAAGTCTCTAATATAGACATTTCCTTAGCTGACAATAGGTCTACAATGTGATAGATTCAAGAAACTAAACATTCTCAGTGTAATGTCGGTCACATAAGGCCAGACACAGCCAAATACCAAAATGGCAGTAGATTTAGAATGGAAAATTTTAAGACCACGTGTGTCAAGCAGTGTTAACCTGACAAAATTCCAGAATAAGAAAGAATTTGGATAAACTCTGAGAGTTCACCATCATGGGATATGACTGTGTGTTTCTAGCCAAGACGGTACGTGACATCTCTGGCAATAAGAATATATCCTACACAGATGAATCATTTTGGCAATGATGTAAGCAGATACATCATGATTTAGAATGTTTTTAATCAGCAGCATGCATATTAGACAATCCCACTTCTGGCAAAACCCCTGTCCATATGACTCAGATCAGTTTATTTAGAGCCAAAATCCTTAAAGGTCTACAGTATTATACATGCTCATTAACATCTTTTAGTTACTATAATTTGGACAGGAGTTTATTTCATCCATAGCCCTTATGCATACAGTAATAGCTTATATTTCCAAATTATATTCATATCAGGTATTAAGATATTTGAACTGGCACTTGAAAACATAAGACAGTCATCATTTTGACCCATTATGGAATTTCCTTTAAAGGATGAGGATTTACATCACTGTCCTGCAGTTGTGTGTGGTCTAAGAAATTAGCATAGGTTTTGTAGATGTAAGCGCTCCTTACGGGCTTAATATTTCCACAGATTTGCTGATCCGACACAAATAAGGAAAGGAAAGGAATGCTCGAGATAGAAGGGAACAGGAGGAAGGTTTTCTTCCTTCTTCGTCTGGAAGGGGGGTTGCTGCATGTATATACTGACCAACTTAAAGGGGAGAATTGAGGTTGTACAGAAGGTAGTTTGGGTATTAGTTCATCTCATTTAAAATGGTTGCTTTGCATTTACCAAGATACAAGAGTGGTGAAGATCAGATGAGACAAAAATGTTCTTCAAGAAAAATATTTTTCAAGTCATTTCAAATGTTTAGGATTTTGAGAAGGTCAAATGCCAGATCCTCTTCCTTCTGAATAACACAGCCAGGCCACTCATATTCAAGGATGGGAAAGGAAGAAAGAATGTGATTAAGTGCTAGGAGGAAAATAATAGCAGGGATGTTTGGCTTCTTTCAGAAATACATTCTAAGATTATTTGTTTAGCAGAAACTAGAAGATCGAGTTCAGTTCTCCAAGAATTTGTTGTAATTTGGTGCCACCTAGAATATGATGTAGTATATGGAGCTCAGTCTTATAAAGGGGTAAAAGTTCTTATGCAAGCAATGTAGTTCTAAATGAGAAATTGCAACTCAGTAATCTTTGCTCTTAAACATAAGCACACCTGAAAGGTTTTGCTTTCTTGATGAGTATTCTGGTATATTCCTAAAATCATGAGAAACTGGGGGAAGGGCAGGAATCCGCCAGATTAAAATAATAAAGCCCAAACCATATGATATTGCCAATATTCAACTATTTTTGACCTATAAAATTGACACCAATATCCAACCATCTTTGAACTACAAAAGCAATACTTTCT